AAGCTGTGGGAGCTCCCACAGCGCTCCCAGCTCCGGGCAGAGGGATTTTACACAGAAACACACACACTTGTCTTTTGAAATGGAGTTCAGAGGACAGGGTCTGGCACGGCTGTCCGGAGTGTGTTACACCAGCTGGACTGCTGGCAAGGACACAGCCCAGCACGGCAGGAGTTGTGCCCAGAGAGCGATGCCCAGGGCCCTGCAGCTCAGTGCTGTCCCACTCCTGAAAACGGAGCTGCTGTTGGGTGAATCTGGGCAAGGGGCTGCCAGGGGCACTGGGGGATGGATCACCTGCCCAGATAGGGCTCATCAGACAACACAGGGAGATGTAGTGGGCAAATCCCAGCTGTGAGCAGGAGGTGGGGATATTTACACTATTTATTCATCCTAATTAATATTTCCCAAGGTCTCAGAAAGGCTGGGCTGTCTCTGCCTTGGCTTCAGCAGCCCTGGCTAGCCCTGAGGTCTGTGCCACCTCCCGTCCCCATTTCCATCCCAGTCTGCACAATCCCTGTACTTTGTGCCCTTTCTCATCTCAGCCAGAAAGTCCTACAAACACACACAATATTCAGCTGTTGAAATAATTTCTTTCCACGTGTCCCTTGTTAATAATCACAAAACCAAGCCACTGGAGCCCCCATAAATCAGGGCTTGATCTCAACAGGTGATGGTCCAGTCAGGCCCTGCTGGAGTGTGTGGAGCAGCCAAGGATGGGAGTGGATGAGGGAGATTCAGCACAGAGGCTCAGCACTCTGATGGAGGAGACTTGTCCAGCTCTGCCTACAGTTCTGCCTCTGAGAAAGTGTTTTTTTTCTCCAGAGGGCACCCCAGCCCTGCATCAGAGCTCCTCCAAATGGCACCATTAGCCCCCAGTGAGCTGGTGCCCCCCCAGACATGGGGACACGTGAGGCAGGGCTGGAATCATGGAATCACTCAGGTCGGAAAAGTCCTCTAAGATCACTGAGTCCAACTGCTCCCCAGAACTGCCAAGGTCACTGCTAACCCACATCCCCAGAGTGCCACATCCACACAGCTTTTGAACACTCGCAGGGCTGGTGACTGAGCACAGAATGGTCACGGCGATGACAAACTGATGGCTCTGGAGAAAAGTCAAGGGCAGAGCCAGGAGGGCAGGTCGATCTGTGCCTGGGAATGGCAACTGTCAGCCAGCTCAATAAATGAACAAAGATTGGACTGGCACAGAGCAGGAAGGTGTTTGAGTTGGGAGTTTACAGTGCCCCCGTTGTGGATGGCAGAGGGGTCAGGACTTGAGAGTGGAAAATCCTCTGTGATGAGGGAAAACCTCACAATCCTTGTAGATTGGTTGGGAAGGGGAGCAGCTCCTGGGAAAATTCATCCTTACTGCAACAACAACTCTTCCTAACAGCAGCCACCAGCTGGGTCAGTCCTGGGCATCCCTGATCAGTCCAGCTGGTCCAGGATGTCCCTGATCTGCCCAGCCATGTGCCGTATCTCCCAGGAAGGTCAGGAGGAGCAGGGCCAAGCTACCCTGGGGATTCTGTGATTTCAAAGGTCCTCTCCAACCAAAATGATTCCATGGTTCCAAGAGGAGAGAGAAGTTCTCCCCTGAGAGCAGCCCATCATGGGTTGGACAAAGGGCTCGTCAAGGGAAACCTCACAACCCTTGTCCAGTTTGCTCCTGGATTCCCAGTCCTGAGCCCACAGGCACTGAAATGCCCCTGACCCCCAGTTTAACCCCCCACAGCCAGGGGCTGCTGTGCAGGGTTGTGGGGAGGGCCCCAAGGTGGTGGGTGTGAGCCCAGACTGGGAACACCAGCCAGGGAACATGTCAGAGTTAAAAACATGAAAGCAAAGGCAGGGGAGGGACAGAGCTGGTTAAACCAGGATGACATGGGGAGGGACGGGATGTCAGAAGAGAGGCAGAGAGGGGAGAGTGGCCTAACACCACAGAGAACGGGCACGAGACAATGCTGCTGCCGAGAAACAGGAAAGATAAATTTAGAGGCAGCAGTGAATGCTCTTCCTCTGGCGGCTCTGCCTGTCCTTCCTCCCCCTCCTCTCCCTCACTGGGCCGCCCACCAGCACAGGCAGGACACGGCTCCAGCCTGGTATGGCTCTGCTGGCCAGGGAGGCACCACAGCCCTGCCATGGATAGCAAAGGCTCCGGGCAAAGCAAAAGCAGCCCCTTCCCATCCCCTCCCAGCGCAGTTCGTGGCTCCCACCTGCAATGCCCAGAAAATTCCCGTTCCCGGCCGCGGCTCCCACCTGCCCAGCACAGCGTGTCGGGGTGCACCGTGCACAGGCACAACACCGGTCCCTATGGACGAGACGTGGAAGTAAAACAATGAGCATGTCTGTGTGCTGCTTCCTCCTCCCAGCCTGCTCTTCCCGAACGGACACGGCGAGAAACCGCCCAGAATGGCCTGGCTGGGCTCGCTCTCTGCCAAACCCAGGGCTGTGTCGGTGTCTGGAGAACAGACAGCTCCAGGGAGACCAGAGAGACCCTTCCAGGTCAAAACTATGTTTCTCTCCCTTAATTTAAAGTTTTGGAAAGAAAGTTCATAACTGCTTGTTCTCTCAGTGAGGAGAGCCCTGTTCCTCTGTCGAAGCTGGGTGAGAGGAGTGGCAGCCTCCCCGGTGTCGAAATACAGATCCCCCAAATAGAGAAATACAGATCCTCCTCCATGGCTCACCCCAGCAGGAGCACTTCCTTCCAGACTGACACCTCACATTTCCCTTGCTTTGGACAGAACCTGGGATTTAGGGAAAGCTGTGTTAGGCAGGGGCTGTGCCGGATCCTCTCCTGCCCCACCCCACTGCAACCCACAGCTGCTTGCCAGGATGAGGGAGTGAGAGATGGAAGGTGTTCACAGTGATGGGAAGGAAAATGTGGGACAGAGGGACAAAGGGAAAACATTTGTCACCGATCACAGTCCCTGTCCCCAAGGTCAAGCCCTGCAAGAAGAGCTCGGCAGGGACTGTGACTCATCCGGAGGGTTCTGGCCATGGGCAGCACAAAGGATGGGACTGTGGCACTACCAGCACATCCCATCCCAGCCATTCCACAGTGTTCTTCCAGTCCTCCCAGCACACCCCATCCCAGCCATCCTCAGTGTCCTTCCTGCCCCACCATGGCACCTCCAGCAGGTGTTTGGGTCATTCCAGATGCTGCCACCTGTGCCCAGGCAGGTGAGCTCTGCGGGTAAGGGACGTGATGGAGCTTGGGAAGAGGCAGCAGTGGCAACAAATTCGGCAGGAAGCCCCCAGCCTGTCGGGGCAGCACTGGGCTCCCCATCATCCCCTCACTGGCCCTGGCCAGGCAGACTCCAGGGATGTGCCCAGAGACGGGCTCGAGCAGAGGCTGAGCTGAACCTGACTCCTCCACAAGGAATAACTAAAATAAAGGAGTGCAGGCAGCCCCTCTCCCACGGGATGTGACGCTGACACGTTCCTGGTAGTACAAACAAACCACTTTGCCGATTCCTCAGCGTTCTCAGATATGGAGCAGAGCAGGACAGGGCTAGTGCTTGCCCCTTTCCACACTATGATTCCCAAACTAGTTGATAAATTAAAACAGCCTAATAAAACCATCTGAAATAAATACTTTCTCAGGCATCAAACCAAACCCAAAACGTCAGCATGATGAGCCGTGACCTAGCACAGCAGGAGATGTTCCACTCCTGCTGCCGCAGAGCCCCCAGTCCAACCCTCCCAGTCATTCCCCAGGTTTGGGTGGGAATGTGTCCGGGGGTGTAGCAGAGCTTCAGCTCCAGTTTCTCATCTTGGATAGATACAGTGTGACCAGTAAAGAGGGCACTGATGGAAGGAAGGTTGCTTGCAAAGAGGAGCCGAGGGGGATGTGACTGGCTGCAGAGCTGCTCCTGCAGTGAGGACACTGTCACCTGCGGTGGGAACAGGGGATGGTCAGAGCGGCCAGTGTTGCCCCAGCTGCTGTTCTGCACAGCTGGCCAGGGGTTGGGCATCCCCTGGGGCTCCAGAGGGAATGCTGAGGCCAGTACCCCCATGACTCTTCGGGGTCCCCAGGGAGAACTGTGCTTGGGCTCTCCCTCCAAACCAAGATATGTTTGTTCAATCCTGTGGCTGGCCCTGATCACCCACATGATCCAGCTGCACCATGTGGGAGCCGCCTGGAGCCACGGCTTGGCAGGGCCTTGGCATTCAAACCTGGGATACAGAAGCCACCAAGGTGAGGCTGGGAACATGGTGTGGAGTCTGGAGGCGTGGTGCCCGGTGCAGGATCATGGTGTGGGGTGTGGGAGCACAGTGTGGGGTGTGTGAGCCTGCTCTGGGGTGCAGCAGTGCAGCGTGGGATGTTTCAGGCTGAGGGAGCCGCTAGCTTTGGACCTGGGGGGAGGCTTCAGGCTCTGGACTGGGGAGGCTCTGTAGCTGGAGGAGGGGGTTCAGGTTCCGGATCCCGATGCAGGCCAGGTTGTGGACTGCCCCCATCCCTTCCCATCACCCCCCCTCCTCTGCCCACATGGCGGGTCACAAGGAAACCCCTAACGCTTGATTGATTAATTAATTATAACTAATTTATCTGCCGCACCCAGTTGATGACTAGAGCTCCGGAGAGCTTACAGGCAGCTCCCAACAGTCCCTCACCAGGGCACAGCGCACAAAGCCCCCCAGCCCTCATGCAGCTCCCACGAAGCATCGGGGGGTCCCACACTGGGAAATGCTGGGCACTCTGGGGCGGGAGGCGAAACGGGACCTGCCTGCTATGGGACTGGCCCGTGGAGTCAAACCCCTCCTCCCCACTGCACTTCGCGCCCCTCCAGGGGCACTTTGCCGCTGTGAACACGAGTGGTCCTACCCGGGTCCCCCACCGCTGGTTGGTCCCAAACACCGTGAAACTGTCCCCAAACTTTGGGCGCGGCCCGCGGGGACCGGCCGGCTGCCGCCCTGACCTCCCAAACCCCAGGGTGCTGCCCGACCGCGACCTCCTGAGCATCTCTCCCACGCGCGATTCCGCCGCGGGGTCCCCCCGCACTGCTTACCCCCTCCCGCAACAGGTCAGGACCCCCTCCGCGCCCTCCCCGCAACTTTCCCGGAGGAGAAAGTTTGCGAGCGGCCACGGGGAAAGTTCTCGGGGGGCTTTCATGTGGAGGGGCGGCCCCACGCGCGGAGAGAGGAACCCCCTCGTCCTCCCCGCTCCTCCCGGTACCTCCCGCCGCCATCGCTCCCGTCTCGGTCGCGCAGGGGAGGAAGGCGGCCACATCCCGGTGTCCCCGCTGTTGTCCCCCCCCGCTGTTGTCCCCCCTCGTTGGGAGAGTTTAAGGGGCACGGGGTGGTCCGGTGAAGACTCACCGGCGGCTCCGCGGGGCGGCGGCGGCGGCTCCGGGCCCGGCACTGGGTGCGCAGGAAGGAAGAAGGAGGGAATGAGGCAGGGCTGACGTGAAGGGATGCAAAGCAGCTCCTCCTAACTCGCCCGCCCTTCATCTTCCTCCCCCTCCCCAACTTGCCCGACCACCGCAAACGCCCCCCCGTGCAGCAGCATCCTCCACCCGCGCCGGGGCCGCTCTCGGTACCGGTCTGGGGGGACAAAGAGGGGGGGACAAAGAGAGGGGGACTGGGGGTGGTCGATGGGCACCCCCATGCCCTAACCCCTCCAGCACCCCAGGGGTCATTTTCTATTTCCCCCTTCCTTTCTTTTTGAGAGGTTATCACCTCACAGAGTGATAGCGGGAGCGGGGAACGCCCTTCCCAGGGGACCCATATCCTGGCTGGGCATTGCTCTCCTCTGCTGTGATGGTGGGAAAGATCATGTACACCCCAAAAATCTTGTAAGGCTTGATAGTAAGGAACTCCCTCCCCACAAAAATGGGATTAATGGAACTGGGGATGTTACAGGAATTGGAAGGTTTTGGGGGAATGCTGTTCACCCTCACAAGGAGGTGGAGGGAGAGGCTGGGGTCTGCAGGGGTGGGGTGACAGGAGGTGAGCAGTCCCCAAAAGGAGGGAAGGGGACGGGATGTGGTGCGCGAAGGGAAGCTGGTGGTCCAAGAATTGGTGGTGCTGTTGGCTCCCCCAAGAAGGTGGAGGGAGACGTTGACCTACATGGCCGTGGGGATGTGGTAGCGGGAGGCAGCCGATCCCCAAAGGGACGGATGGGGATGGGGATGGGGATGGGGATGGGATGTGGAGTGGGAAGGAGAGTGGGTGGCAACGGCCAAGGGTCTGCGGGCTGCAGGCTCCGGCTCCCATCGTGACGAGAAGGAGGAGGAGGAAGAGGAGGAGGAGAAGGAGGAGGAGGAGGAGGGTCTCCTCCCCATGGAGGAAGGAGCACGCGGAGGCAGCCGGGATTCGACTGGTGCGTCGGGAGATTCTCATCTCCATGGAAGCAGGTGGCGCCGGCCAGACTAATCGCAGCAGAGTTTGTCTCCACACGCAGCCCTTTGTCTGGGCGCACTTCTGCTTTTCTGATTTTTTTGTATTCTCAGTGATAACCGAGCTCCCCGCTCCGTCCCCGCTGCCGGTGCTCACATCCCCCGCGCCTGTCGGGGGGCTGCCCAGCACTCCTTCATGTACCTGCCGGGGCCTTTCGGAGTCCGGACCCGGCGGCCTCACCGGTCCCCAAACCGCCACTTCCCTCCCCAAGTTGCCAGCTCGGCCTCGCCCCACGCGGCCCGCGAACGGCTCTGCCTGCGGAAATATTTGCAAATACAGATGGAAAGAGAACGCGGCACAGGGAGATTCGCTCCTCTGAATTCCCGCGGGGGCCCCGGCCGGGGGAGCACCCGGACCGGGCAGCTGGCGGGGCACGGAGCGGGACATGGAGCAGGATAGAGATGGGGGCATGGAGCTGGGCATGGAGCTGGGCACAGGGCCGGACACGGCCAGGGCGCGGGCAGAGCCAGGCGGGGAGCAGGCGGAGCGAGACCCCAGTCAGGACTCAGGGACCGGGGCTTGGGGCTCAGAGATCGGGGCTCAGGGGTCCGGGCTCAGGGACCGGGGCTCGGGCTCGGCCGGACCGGCCCCTGCCCCGCCGGCTGTCAGGGAGCAGCTCCGCGTCCGCCCCAGCCAATCAGGGAGCGGATTGAGGAGGCTCCAGCCGCTCCAGTCAATCAGAGAACGGATTCAGGAGGCTCAAGACACCGCAGCCAATCAGGTTACGAATCCAGATGCCTTAGCCAATCAACGTGGAGGTTGGCGGCTGCAGCGGCCCGAGCCAATCAGAACGCGCGGTGCGCTGTCCCGCTCCCTCCACGGCCCTTCCCGCTCCCTCTGCCGGTTCCCCCGCGCCCGCCGGGGCGCGCACTGACCTGTCTCTCCATGCCCGCGCTGTCTCTGGCTCTCTCCCTCCCCGTGCCCGTTCCACGGAGCCGTGTCCGTGGGCAGCTCCCGGTGCCGTGATTGTCCCGCCCTTTTCTCACACTTCCCAGCACAGGAGGCGTTACCGCGGGCTCTGGCCGGTGTGTGCCCGCGCCGGACTCGAGCGGGGCCGGGCAGGGGCCGGTAAGCTCTGCCCCCGCCGGTGCACCGCGCACGCCTCCTCCGGACAGGCAGGGCTGCTGGCCCTTTAAGCGAGGGCGTGGCCTAACGCAAAGCACCGCCCCCTGGCGCCGCTGCGGTGGTGGCGGGGCTGGTGCGCCCCCTGGCGGCGCGTTCGGGTGTCCCGGTGGTCCCGGGTGTCCCGGTGGTCCCGGCGGTCCCGGCGCGGGCAGGGGTGGCCCCGTCTCGTCTCCAGACCTGCCCGTCCTACCCCGCCGCGGGCCGCGAGAAACCGCCCATCGGCAGGCCCCGGTGCAGCCCCGCGATCCCGGGGAGCCCCCGCCCAGGAGCGGCTCGGAGGTCTCCCCGAGCCCAGCCCCGCATCCCGGGCCGTCCCGAGCCTCGGCGGCTCCGCAGGGTCCCCGCGGGGCTCAGCCCACCGGGCCGGGCCGCAGCGCCGCCGCCGCCGCACTTCCGGGGCGGGCGAGGGGCTGCTCCCGGTGCTGCTGCCGGGCCTCCTCCCGGCCCGGCCCGACTCGCCGCCGGGATGATCAACGCCATCCTGGTGTTCAACAACCACGGCAAGCCGCGGCTCGTCCGATTCTACCAGCACCTGGTGCGGGCCGGGACCGGTGCGGGGCTGGGGGTGTTGTGGGGCTCGGGGGGACTGGGGGGCCCCGAGCCGGGGCGGTCGCTGCGGGCTGGCGGAGCCCTGCCGGTGCCCATCGGGCCGCGTCCTTGGCGGTGCCCCGGGCTGGCTCGGGGAGAGCCAGAGTGCCGGGGGCAGCGCGGGTCGCGGGCCCCGCGGGTGGGACGGGCACCCACGGGTGTCCCCCGCTGTGTTCTGCCGGCAGGCGGAGGAGGCCCAGCAGCAGATCATCCGCGACACCTTCCACCTGGTGCTGAAGCGCGATGACCACATCTGCAACTTCCTGGAGTGCGGCAGGTACCGGCCGGGGAGGAGCTGTGCTGGCCCGGGCCGCACCCGGCTGGCCCCCCCAGAGCCCTTCAGCTCTCCCCCTGTCCCTACAGCCTGTTCGGCGGCTCGGACTACAAACTGATCTACCGCCACTATGCCACGCTCTACTTCGTTTTCTGCGTGGACTCCTCGGAGAGCGAGCTGGGCATCCTGGATCTCATCCAGGTGTGTCCCTGCAGGGTTCCATCCCTGGGCACAGCCCCGCCCCGACACCTCTCAGGTGCATTTCTTGCCCGTGGTGTCCCTGTGCCAGCCCTGGGAGGCCTGAGGAGCCGCTCAGGGGGAAAGGGAGGCTGCACCTGCCCTCTGAGCCTGTACATAGCTGCTCCGCCTGGGGCCACAGGGGGTGAAGCCAACCCAAATGGATGGCTTTAAAAAATAGAACCATAGAGTCATTTAACGGTGGAAAAGACCCTTAAGAGCATCAAGTCCAAAAGTTAGTCCTCGTATCGTAGAATCCCAGTTTGGCAGGGACCTCAGATATTGTCTGGTCCAACCTTTCAGTTCAAAGCACAGCGTGGACAAGGCCCAGCAACTTGGTCAGATGCACCTGAAGGTGTCCAGCATCAGGGAATCCAATTACTTCCTCTGTAAGATTATTCCAATGGCTGAGTGTTTTGTTTGGGAAAAAATTTCCTCTTATGTCTAACTGGAATCTCCCCAGGAGGAACTTGTATCCATCACCCTGTGACTTTCCATATGACTCCTTGTATGAAGGAAGTTTTCAGCTTTTTAGCCACCCTTTAAATACCAGGACATGGGGAGAAGGTCCCCCCTGGGCCTTCTTTTCTCCATGCTGAGCCCCCCCCCAGTTCCCTCAGGTGCTCCTGGTTCTCCAGCCCCTTCCCCAGCTCCGTTCCCTTCCCTGGACACACTCCAGCCTCTCAGTGTGTCTCCTGTTGGAGGGGCCCATGGCTGGACACAGTCCTCGGGGTCCCTCAGCAGTGCCAGCACAGCCCAGGGGCCATTGGCCTCCTTGCCCACCTGGCACACTTGGGCTAATGTTCAGCTGCTGTCACCAGCAGCCCCAGGGCCTTTTCCATCTGTCCAGCTGCTCTGCCCCACGCCTGGAGCATTTTATGGGACTGTGTGACCATCTTGCCTCGTCTCTGTCCTGACTGTCCTTTCTGCTGCCCCAGGTGTTTGTGGAGACCCTGGACAAGTGCTTTGAGAACGTCTGTGAGTTGGACCTCATCTTCCACATGGACAAGGTGGGTGGTGGGCTCCATGCTGCTCCAGAGCCTGCGCTCCCACAGACAGGAGCTGGCCAGGAAAGTGTGGGAGCATCAGGGGTCACTGTGTGGCCAGGGATTGTGATCCTGGGTGGGAGGATTTCAGCCTGAGGTCTTAGAAAGCCATCCTCATCGTGTTCTCGCAGCAGAAGGACCGAGTGCTGGGCTGTTCTGAGCCCAGGGGTGAGCTGTGCCCACTCGTGGGGCTGTCCCAGGGACTGCCATGGGCGCCAGGTGACCCCAGCCAAGTGACAGGGACCTGCTCTCCAGGGCTGTGCTGGTGGAACTGGGCAGGCTCTGGTGTGGTGCTGGGGCGTTCTGCCTCTGCCCTGAGCTGTGACACCCCTTGGGAGTTAACATTTTACTACAGCTGCAGGGGAAAAAAAGGGAAGGAACAATGGCTGCAGGAAAAAAAGTGAACGAACAATGGGAGTGTTTGGAATTCGAAGTGCTGGGTAAACTTTGGTTTGAGCCACAGCCTGCAATGCTTCCTCTTGAGCTGGACTGAGTTTCTGGGCGGAAACCCATCCCCTTTGATCATCTCATGGGTCATGAGGCTGAAGATAGCCAAGAATAGATAACCAGGAATAGGCTTGGAGCAGGGAT